CGTGGGATGAATCGGGATTCACAACTTTTGGGGTCGAACCTTTCTAACCCTTTTCCTCCTCAGTTAATAGACAACATAACTGGCATGCTGGTCATCTGAAAAAAGCATAATGCACATGCTTTTCTCCTTCTCTTGTTACCTTGATCTTCCAGTTACGTCCTTAGGTCGCAAAGTGAACTAACGCAAATTTCTAAATAACTTCCAGTCTATCTGTGTATACTTTATGAAGAAAAGAAAAGGTGACAACTGTTGTAGGGGGCTGAATCTTGTTTCAAATAGAATGGCTTTGCGTCATATGAGATATGCTTTCAGTTATTATTGTTCCCTTGGGTTCCTAGTGGAACATAGGGCTTCAACTGCACGTCTCCACTTGCTTTTGTCTTCTGCTGTACTTTTCACCTGCATCCATGTTAGTCCATACTGTTTCAACTCCTCTTCACACGATCTCCTCCATGTCACCCTTGCACCGATGAACCACTCGCCGCTTCCCTTTCGGGTTCCACTCGAGGGCCTGACGCGCGATGTCACCCAGCGGCCTCCTCAGCGAGTGTCCAATCCATCTCCACTTTCTCCTGCATATTTGTCGAGCGATTAGTTCTTGTTTTGTTTGTTCCCATAGTTTCTTGTTGATGATTCTTTCCGGCCATCTGATCTTGAGTATGGAGCGAAGACAGTTGTTGATAAAGGTCTGCAACAGGCTGTTGGAAATATTCTTTGTGACCCGCCAAGTTTCTGATCCGTATAGAAGAACTGACTTGACGTTTGTATTGAAAATCCGAATTTTGTTGTTGATGCTGAGTGACGAAGATTTCCAGATTGGTTTCAGGTTGATGAATGTGTTTCTCGCCTTCCCGATTCTCGATTTGACATCCTCGTCTGTTCCTCCTGTAGTTGAGACAATGCTCCCTAGATAAGTGAATGAAGTAACCTCTTTCAAATCCCTCCCGTTGATGGTGATTGGCGCTGGATGTTGCTGCTGTTGTTGTTGTTGTTGGTTGGTTATTTTCATAACCTCCGTCTTGTCTATGTTCACCTGGAGTCCTGTCTTTGCTGCCTCTTCGACCAGTTTGTCGGTTTTCGCTTGTAAGTCTTCGATTTTGTGTGACATCAAACATAAATCATCCGCGAAATCCAGGTCTTCTAGGTTCTTCACGTCGGTCCAGGATATCCCTGTCTTCTCGTTTCCCACTGTCTGACGCACAATCCAGTCCACCACAATTAGGAATATCATTGGTGATAATAAGCACTCTTGTCTGACTCCTGTGTTTACTCCAAACGACTCGCTGAGTTTTCCGTTGTGGATCACTTGACATGTGCCGTTGTCGTACAGCTGTTGAATAAGGTTGATGAATATTTGGGGTACGCCGTAGTACTCGAGTAGTTTCCAAATTACTTCGTGGTCAACGCTGTAGAAGGCCTTCTCAAAGTCTATAAAGTTGAGGTAGAGGTCTGATTGCCATTCCATGCTTTGTTCGATGATGATGCGTAGAGTTGCAATTTGGTCAGAACATGATTTGCCTTTCCTGAATCCAGCATGTTCTGGTTGGAGTTCTGTATCCAGTGCGTCCTTTATTCTCTCCAGGATGATGCGACTCAGGATTTTACTTGGCGTCGACAGGAGCATGATTCCTTGCCAGCTCTTGCAGAGTCCTAAGTCGCCCTTCTTTGGTAGTTTCACGAGGTAACCTTTCCTCCAGTCAGTAGGCACCTTTCCCTCCTTCCAGACCTTTTGCAATAATGGAGTCAGCATATCTGCTGTCGTCTCCGGGTCCACTTTCAGTGCTTCAGGGGGTATTCCATCTGGTCCAGCTGCTTTTCCAGCTTTCAGAAGCTTGATTGCATTCAAGACTTCAGCTTTCGTTGGAGGATTGGTGTCAACTTGCAGTTGTGTACGTGCTGTTGTTGGTATTTCTGGACGGGTTGCAGGTGGTGGTCGGTTCAAGAGTCCTTTGAAGTGGTCCGCCCATTGTTTAATCTGTCTTTCTTTCTTGATAATTGGGTTCCCTTGGCTGTCTTTTATAGGTTTCACTTGTGTTGATCTCTTCCTGGATAGAGACTTAGTTATCTGATATAATGTCCTCAGGTCCCTTTTGCCTGCTGCCTTCTCAGCTTCAGTAGCCAGGTTGTCGTAAAATTGTCTTTCGTCCTTCCTAGCAATCTTCTTCAATTCTTTGTCCAGTGCTGTGTAAGTTGAACTCAGCGTCTCCTTCTCTTGTCTGTCTTTGCATTGAATCATTTTCTCTTTCACCATTCTCGTCTACTCCATTAGCTTCCAAGTGTCCGTTGAGAGCCATTCCTTGTCTTGTCTCTTCCTTCTTCCTAAGACCGTTGAACACGTTTCGTTGAAAATCACCTTCAGAGAGTTCCAGTAGTCTTCCACGGATGATTCCTCAGTGATGCCACGTGGTGTTTCCTGCTTTGCTCTGACAGTTGCAGTGTAAGTGTCCTTTGTGGTTGTGTCCTTCAGTTTTTGCGTGTTGAACTTGCATTGTGGCCTATCCCCAGCTATCCTCGAGGCTTCTAGCTTCAGCTTGAAAGTCCCTTGCATTAGATACTGGTCTAAACCCACATCTGCGCCTCTCCTCGACCTTGTGTCCAGTAGGCTCCGTCTCCACTTCCTTGAGATTGAAATGAAGTCTATCTGGATTTTGGTGTGTCCATCTGGTGAAATCCATGTCGTCACCGATCACCGAATCATTGAAGGCGCAGATATCTGAGAAGAGTTCACCATTGTCGTTCATTTCACCGAGGGCTTCACGACTCATAGTGAGTTCTCTTCCTGTATTGTCTCCTCCCAGTTTCGCATTCATATCACCCATCAGGATTCTGATATCGCCATTTGGGACGTTGTCCATTACTGCTTGTATTTGTCTGTAGAAGGCCTCCTTCTCCTCTTGTTCTGAGACGTTTGTAGGCGCATAGCATTGAATGATTGTAACTTTCCTTCCTTTTGAGTTGAGCCTAGCTGTCACTATCCTGGAGGAGATTGGTTCCCACTGCATGAGAGCTTTGGCTGCTGTTGGTGACATCATGATGGCCAGTCTCTCGGTGTGCTCGTGGTTATCCTCTGGGTGACCGGAATAGATTACTGTCTCTCCAGTTGATAGTTGGCACCTTTCATATCCGTTCCATCTGCTCTCGCAGATTCCCAACACTTCTATTCCATATCTTCTCATTTCTGCGGCTACCTGGGCTGCCTTTCCAACTTCGTACATTGTACGAACATTCCACGTCCCCATCCTTATATTTGCTTTCATCGAAAGAAGGCGCATCGCTGACTGGCTTACCGAAGGCTTTCACCAGCCTGCGTCATTTCACTTCCCCCATTCCAGCGAAAGATAAGGTTATTGTTTATATTTTTAGAATTTTTAATATATTTATGCGTTGAAGTTTCTGTAGCAATTTGGCTAAGTTTTGGGGGTGGAGTTGCTAGCACCACGCCCCAACCCTCCCTCTTTATGCGGGCTTGGGACCGGCTAGAAAACTAGGGAGCTAGTAATCTAGGCGACGTTATACTTTCAGTTAATATTTACTTAAAGATTCTATGTGGAGAAGAAATCTTTCACATGAAGTCACTCTGAGGATTCCGTGTTGTGTTTAAATATAATTTGCAAAATAAATCTAATATTGTTAATGTCAATTAGGCTTCTCTATAAAAATGAACCTAATTGGATAGTAAGCTCTACAAACTCTCTGTTTGTTTAGTCATCAGGCTTTGAGGATCACACATAACTTTATTGCCCCTGGCTGCAATGACCTTGGAAATAGATGTTCAACATCATCGTCTCAAAGTACATCATAGAAACAGGTAACAAAGATGACTTAAACTTATTGCTTTAAAGGCATATGTAAGACGTCTCCTTTGTTGAAAACATTTCAAAAAAGTGGCTTAAACCTGTTTCATATGTCCAGAAAGTATTTTTTTCATTACACTGAACCTCTTTTGATGATCCCATATTAAAATTAATAGGTTAGTTTACATAAAAATATTTTTCCGCTTAAATTTCTCTTCACACTTGTCTGCGATTTGACCCCTTGATTGAAATTTTGACTCTTCTGTACTCTTTTAAACCTTATATGAATATGTATGACAAATAGTTGTGTCAGGCCATATTGCTCGAAACCTGTGTCAAGTGATTTATGTCTTCTTATTGTTCTGAAGGAATTTCAGAAAAGAGATTAAATACTTTGAATGGGTTCCTCATACGGCGCTAATATGCTTCAATATCATTTAGACAGACATTGAAAATCAGAGATCGTTGGATGGCTGTTTTGTCCTAGTCTGGGACTCCTCAGCAATACACACCCTAGACTACATTGAAGATCATCTTACGAAACAGAGTTTTCAGTTATTCAGTCACTTGGATTAGATTTCAGTCATCCGTGAAGTCTAACTTCTGTCCTTTCGCGAAACATATAAAGCGCTACCACCAACCACCGCCACTGATAAGCATCCACTTCACAGACGACTAATTCTCACTAGGTCATCAGGATATATCCATCCAGTAACTATCAATCAGCTTAAGATTGGTATTAAGTTTTATGAGTTTTGTTAGGATTTGAATTAATTTAGCAGAAAACGTTGATTTTTCCGACAGGATATTCACTTCAGAGTAGAAATGAGGTTAATTGCCTTTTTGGGGCGGATTCCATACATTATAAATCACTTACTGATTCTTCAATTTCAAATTTCAAATCCATTTCAAATTAAACTGTTCACTTCTATTCAATTCAATGAATTGAACTTATTCATTTGAGTTTCACAATGAACACCACATTGAACAAGTGAATTCACAGCAATTGATCTTAGTATTCAAGGTCTGTTTTATTAGATAATTGGTGTTTAAATGAGAGGGAACCTGAAATGCATAGATAATGTTTAATGAAAAGTGAAAAATTAAAAAAATTCTCAATAATAAACACTTTTGTTCCTGAAATTTGTTTTTCAGTTAATAACAATCAATAGTGAATGTATTATGTTTTGTTTATTTTATTTTTAGCTGTTTTATGCCTTTCTATGGGCCACAGTGTGAATATAAAGCTCCAAGTAGAGATAAACAACTGGATTTAGAAGAAATAAGAAGTAAGTTGTAAATTTTGGGGAGAACAATTACACATACACACCCGCAACCAAAAACATATGTATATATGTACATACTAATAGCACTCATCACATCTCCAAATACTATTATTCATTTCTTGCCTTCTGAGGGGAAAATAGGGCGTCAGCAGAACACTTTAATTCTGCTGGGTCCTCAGCTTTCGTTTTCAAATGGATCTACGGCTGCGAACAAGCCTTAAATTCCATCTCATGTGGTCTCTTCGATCTCACTTTTGGACATACAGCTCTCCATTCCCCATTCGAGTTTCACTCAAAGGCTTGTCTAGCACGCGAAGCCACTTGAAGATCTCCATAGAATGTGTCCAATGCATCCAGTTCCATTTCTTTCTGCATAATTTTTGGACGATATTTTGTTGGCCAGTTTGCTGACACAGTTTTTTTGATCGTTGATCCCTTCAGGTCCGTCATCGAGTTTTCAACATTGAGTGGAGACAGCTGATGAAGAAAGTCTGTAGTAGTATCTTAGGAATGATTTGGTGATGTGTGAAGAGCGTCTCAGCCACACATAATGACATGACAACAGTGTTAAGAAGTCAGATCTTTTTCATTGAGGTGGATGCTGTAGATCTCACCAATGATTTCACATTATTGGACACCTATCTGTGCTTTCTCATTTGTACCACCGGTAGTTGAAATGACAATCCACAGGTAATTAAAACAGACAATTATTTTAAGATTGATTCTTATTGTTGCTAGCTGGGGAGGCTCTTTATTTCTGTTATCCCTATGTTTACATGAAGTTTTTCCTTCGCTGACTCATTTCTCTGACTTGTTGATTTTCTTCCGTATATCTTTGCAGGACTAACGAGATTAATGTTAACTCTGTCTTAGCTTTACCTTCATAGAAACATCTCATTATTCCTTGTTCTTTATCTTTTCTCACTGGCTATCTAAACTTTAGTTTCCTCAGAGGAGAAGGCAACTGTTGATGAAAGCTTGCAGTAGCCCTTTGGAAATGCTTTCCTTGATACACGCGCCAAATCTCTAGACCATAACGAAGCACTGACGGACTTGTTCTTATTGCTAACTGTTGTGGATATCCCCACTGATTTGAAAGTAGTAAACGCCTGTCTTGCTTTTCAGACGGTGGCTGACTTTGACATCCTGATCTTTACCACCTTTAACTGGAAGTGTACAACAGAGCATGAGTTTTCACAAAGTGGTGGGATGACTGAATTCCATAGCTTAAAATGTGGCGTTCCTGAAACTGTGAAATTAACTCACCAATGCTTCACCATCATCCTAGATAACTTTGTCAATATTTGCTCTATAAAGAAATACATTTCACGAGATTATACATGAACAAAGAATGAAGTAGATAATTTTAAACTACTGGACTGAAATCAAACTATCACTGAATTCAGTTGAACATTAGATGTTAAATAGCACATACTGAAGTACATCCTTCAAATGTTATGTTATCAAGAAACATGGATCATTTCTACACTCAGTTCACATGTATTGTGAGGATAAAACTCAGTGGTTTTGAAATCCAGCTTCCAACACATTTGGAGAGACTCTCACCCCCTCCCCCGGACCTCAATTTACTGAAGCCTGAGTAGTCAGCCATTATTACCAGACTTCACGTAATCGACTTAAATAAGTGCACTGTGTACATTAATACTGAGTATTACATTAGCTTAGATATAAACGAGGGGTAAATCACTGTGATGTAAACGCATACCCATCCAACTGGTGTACGTCATTACAGACTTGAAAAGGTAAGATAATATAAACAGGCGGTACAAAGTTCTGATCGTCTAATAGTCTGAACAATACTGATTTGAATAACGACCTCAGTTTTCTCCTCAGCCCAAATTCTTATTCATTGCAGAGTTTAAAAAAGTGTTTCGATTTTATTCTTCTTAATTTCTGGAAGAAAAATGAAGTTGGTCAAACTTCCCTCAGTATGTAAAATAGTTAGTCAAACTGATTTCAAGTGGTCTGTGAAATGTATGATCAAGAAGACATGGAAGGACTAGGCTCTAGTAACGTGTCATAGGTCTCATCTTATATATTCTTTGGACTAATGACTGTTTTTCTAACCTCACATAATTCAGCAATAACCATTCGGAACATTTTGTGACACAGGACTCACGGAGATCGATACAGCCCTTAAAATTAATGAGATGCCTACAAACCGTAGACTTCAAAATATCGGCTGAATACCAAAACCACTCAGCTTGGAAGAAATTCTACAATCCATGCCTAAAATTCACGCTGAGCCAGTAAAAACATACGGCAAAAAATTAGTATAAGGGTATCCAGTGCTGTTTGATTACCAATAGCTTCTTTGGCTTTTCTCGTTTTGTTATGTAATCTAAGCTTGAGTTCAGAATTTTATACTTTGAATGTGTAAAGGACAGAATGTGCCTTCATAGTTGACACTGTCACAAGAGCTTAATCATATTAAATTTGTACTGAACAGTCTACACGACTAGAATTAGTATCATGCCATTGTTTACCATTGATCAGCAGATCACCTGATAAGTTCCACACTAGTCTTATGTATTCGACACTGCTCTCGCTTCAATGAAATATGAATGATTGTCTGAAAGGAATACAACCTCACTAGGTGAATGAATGAATGATAATAACTATAGAAACTTCACTGTTAATTAAAATTTTAGGATTAGATAGAATTTCGTTTTGTAGATTCCGTCACGAACCACCATTACTTATATATAATCATTAGGAATAATGGAGCGTTCACTGAGCAGGTGTTTAACCCTAGTTTGGAGCTCTTCAGCACAACCGCTCCAAACATCAAAACCAGGACTTTACAGTTACAAATTGAGAACATCAGCTGTTCAGTCCTCGGATTGGAATTCAGTGGCATGTAAATTTAACTTCTGTTAATTCGCTATATTGCGGTGTCGCTATCTAATTCTGTGGACGAGTATTCTCTTCACGTCTGAATTGGTGAAGTGCAGAGGCAACAACTTCTCACTAGAAATTCATGATATCCAATCTGTGAGCACTGATAAGCTTGAGAGTGACCTTCAGATTTTAGATCTGTAACGATTTTGACTACTTTCAGTGTAAATTTCAACAGTGTTCCTTAGTTACTAATAATTCTCTGTGTGATTTAGTTTCCTAATCAAACTGCTGCATTTATCAGGGTTTTGTTGGTCTGAAGGTAGGTGCAGACAGGAATTAAAATCAAGCGATTGAATAATGAAAGCCAACGACAGTTGGATGAATATCTCCTTCTAATTTGAAACTCTTTCATAGCCTGAGTGTGAGTGTGTGACCTTAGGGAGGTCTTAGAAAAAGTGTTTTCAATGACTGTCGAAATGTCTGTAAAATATTTTAGTATGTTGAATCAGAATTCAGTGTCTCTTTAATGATCCCTTCAATCATTTGAATTGTACATATACAGAATAGAGGGAATTTATGCATACAGAACGGAAGACCATATTTAAACGGTATGATGTAATCCAATATTTGTAAGTTTATTGATTCCACAGCAAACTAGGATAGCAGCAGTGGCTGAACTTATTTCCCTTTTCACACATAGTTTCAACTGTTTTAAGCGAACTGATATGGTTTCTATTGTTTGGATTATTCCGTGCTTAGTGGCTTTCGGTAGCTTACTCTGTACACAATAGATAACAGAACATGATTTACCAGTAACTGGCTTTATGGGCTGTTTGAACCTGATGTGTTCCCGGGCACAAAAAGCTAAGTTCTAAGAGCAATGGCCGATTTCACTAGCTCCATAGCAGCAGCTGAATTGAAGAGTACAAGGAAAGGTGACCAGAGGAGGCACTTCACCTTTCGCTTTCCGAATGATAGTCAGGCGTGTAGAAAATATAAACCCCAATTTACTAATGATGCATTCTCCCTGAACTGACTTTCATAGTTTGTTGGTTGTTACTTCACTTGACATGTTACCTTCAAACACAAAAACTCGCTTAAGAAATCCGGAATTTCGTGTAAAAAAGGAAAAAGCCTAGTAACTGTTGCTACCATAGCCTGCAGTGGGATCTATAAATCCATAGGTACTGTATTACGTCATAACATTTTGGGCGTGATCTTCCATCCCGTATGTATAAATTCCTTCTACCCCTCATATATATGTATATCTCAAATTGTTCATGGGATCAGTAAAGAATTTGAAATTATGAGATATTAGATCTCGATTCAACAGACTAAAATGTAATACAGATATTTAGAAAACAGAGAGATTGAGCGAAGCAATATTTACTTTTCAATTAGATCCTCATCTCTGGCTCTAATCTTATATATATATATATCATTTTTATTACAATACACAACAGTTTACCAATCAAGTGGCGATAAGTTTGTTAACAATAATTAGACAGTGTCAAAATGTACCTTAATTGGTAAACTGCTGTGTATTGCAATAAAAATTAGAGACAGAGATGGGGATCTAATTGAAAAGTAAATATTTCTTCGCTGAATCTTTCTGTTTTCTAAACGTCTAAATGGGGATTTTTTCTATATTAATACAGATATGTTGAATGGTTTTGAGAACACTTTGTCTAAGTCTTCCTCAAGGTCTCACACATACAGACTGTTGAAAAGTCTCAAATTAGAAAGGGATATTTATCCAACTGTATGTCCTCTAGAACTAAACCATCTACATTGTTCATTGTGTGTTATACATTTGTTTTACAAGCTAATGTAAACTGTAATGTATCTGGAAATGGCACAGCAATATAATTCAGGATAATAATAATAATAACAGCTTTATTCTGGACAGTGTTTATGCAGTGTACAGAATTTTCAGCGGACTTTATTGCATGAAATTTTCTATACATCCAGAATCTTCTAACAAAATATTAATTGACAGTAGATCACCGTACGACATAATGCCATCTGGCCAGAAGCAAAAACCAATACATTATGGTATTTCTTTTTACCTCCTACAAGAAATACACGACACTGGGTTAAAAGCAGGCTATAAAAAGTTCAGGAGTACATTTTGAGATCCAGAGACACATAATTCAGGAATAGTATTTGGATAAATCGGCACCTACGATTATGCTTTTTCTCAAGTTTGGCAGGAACTAGCAAATCAGCAGGTTGTAAGCATTTCAAATACTCGCGAGACTAAATAATACCATTAGTAGACATATTTTAATAGATTAAAACAAAGTGAACAGTAGAAATTATTTGCAATATAGTGATGGAGATTTTCAGTAGCCCAAGTTTTAGTCAGACAATTTTTGTCCCATCTCAGATTCATCAGTTGTAAGTAACTATATTCTCAACCTGGACTTTAGTAAACACTATATCCTAATTAAAGTGAACATGCTAACACACACCTAGGTATTTTGTAGCTGATGCGTCTTGAATGTAACAAGGTGCCTGTCCTAGATCCCTCTACTTAACACTATTAGGGTATATATATATATATATGAGAAGATTGTATTATAACAGGAACTGGTTAATTTTCTGCTGTGATTCACATTACGTCAAGTGAATAAAGTCTGAGGGGCAATCGACACTTTATATGAGATGATCTTGGCCTGGCAGACTCTTATTCATGCTGTAGTTGATGGTCAAACAACTCGCTTTGGAGTTACTAGTCTGATGCTCTGCTCGATGACCAAGGAGACTCCCCTGCTAATCAGGCCATCCTTTCAGTGAAGTGATTGCTGGTAGTGACCAGCTATTATGTAAATGGATGTTGTGTAACTATCCGTTTGTCACCAAACTGGATAATGAGTTCCTTGACATACTGCATTAGAAGAAGATGAGGAGCAGGTTGTTAATTGATTAACGGACACTAGTGTATCATTCATCTACATGACACAACTGGTCATTTCGTGTGATGACCTGATTAACAGTTGGGTTTTTTGTAGTTCATTCAGATGGTAAGTCACTGGACTAGTAATCCAGTAGCCACTGTTTCAAATTCTACGGTGATTTTCATTTCACTATCACGTGTAATCACTCATGTAAGTAATTTCTCTATTTGATTTTGAGAATTTTAATCATGTTTATTTTTATGTTTCGTTTGTTTGTTTGTTTTTCTCTTAAAACTTTTAATCTAATCTAGAAAATGTAAATGATGACGACACCAGGGATGGCGTCTTAATAAAGCGATCAGTAGACCGTGCAATGACACTGACAGCACTTATCTTTATAGCTGTCACTTTTCTTGGGATGTTGATATTAGCTTGGTACCTTTCAAGGTGAGTTTCTTTCATAAATGGCTTGTTGATGACATGCTCGTTTATTTACCTGCTTATTTGTTTTTTATTCCTTTGCTCTTTGAGTAGAACCTAGGGAACTTCAAGTTTAGACTTTGAAGTTCCGGTAGCTATGATGTTGTGTTTATGGGCTGAGGTTGCTTGCCCCACATTCATCCCTTCTTCTTTTCCAGGATTCACGACTGGCTAGTAAACTAGGCAAAGTGATGGACTGGATAAACTCTGAGGTGATCTTCAAGTGACATAACGCTCCATGGCCTACAATGGAACCCGAATTGGAATTGATGAGCGGGATGTCCGTCCGAGGGTGATATGGAAAAATTAAATGAAGAGGATATGGAAGATTACAGGCAATAGTGAAGCCAGCTAAAAAGGACTGCAGAGAACAGGACAAAATATTCAGATAGGCTGCTGAAGTCCTACATTCCATTGGAAACCCAAAAGAATAATAATAAAATATGTTCGCCTTTTGAATTCTGCTTAGTTCCTTAAGTTAACTGTCTCCCTTTTACTCTTTTTCCTTGCAGACGTCGACGTAAAGATTTTGCACGATGGAAAAGAATGACAGAATTAGCAATGAAGGTATGTTCTGTTTTACTCTATTTTATTTATTTATTTATTGTTTTATTATTGATCTAATGGATGGTGATTGAAGGTCGATGCAAATGTGGTTGGTTTCCTGCAACAGTGGAAACAGCAGCCACTGAAAAACTAGTCTGGAGCTCTACTAGCAAAGTTACGAGACTGAACCGATAACCACGTCATGATTTCACAGTGGGTACCACAGTTAACGTACAGCTGTCATATAAAAAAGACACATTACTACTTCTTTATTAGTATTTTAAGTCGATTTGTAGTGGAGTCGAGACTATAGGCTCTGTTTCAATTAACGATCCATTGAATGCATGTATCTTTATCATAACTCTGAAGCTACTGGATGAGATTTGAGATTTGAATACGTCTTTAATGATGTCATTTTCATCGATTGTGGCTGACAGTGGAATCGCAAACTCGCTTTTTGTTTTGTTTTGGGGCTCCTCATTTGGATATACCTGGATCCTAGAGAGTGATGTTATTCTCACGGAGGCTCATAACCCAGCAGCCATAGTTTCAAATGCCAATGTGTTATCCACGAGATCTATCCCTTGTGCAAATGGTATTGATTGACTCCTATTTAAATTTTCTGAATTTCATTTGGAACTATCTAAGCAGATAGAAATACTCAGTTTTCTGTGCATTCATGACGGCATACAGAATAGCGTTCAAAGAGATCAGATCTCACAATGTTCGCCATACTATTGATTTACTGGTTAGCAATTAGAATTTGAACAGTTCGTAACATACCTCTGCCATTGTCAGCAGCGGAATATGCCAGCAGGTGACTTTATAGGAATACACTAAACAAATGGAAGGTAGGCCAAATATTATTGGCTGTAAGGCAAGTAAGATAGTGATAGTGCATGCGCATATAACAGAAATGAAAGAAAAAGACAGAACAGAACTAGAAACCATAAGAGTAATAATGCATATTATAACAAAATTTTGAAGTACGTGGAAACAGTTTGAGGTAATTAGGATATTTGTAGTACCAGTACAGTCGCCTAGAACTAGTTCATTTCCCCTATAGATACACACAATCCTATTGCTTTTGCACGATGACCTTGCCTTTTCTTCAGCCTTTCAAATAACCGAGAGACTGCCACGTAGGATGTCAGTGAACTCCATAGATGGCAAACCCTCAGAGAAAAGGAGATGGTCTTTACCTTTGTTGTTGTCCTCTAATGAGCAGTTCTCTTAGGATTATCCGGTGAGATACAACACTGCCCTTCTGGTAATATTTTTCGTATAGGATGCATTGGGCTATGCACTATTTCGTATGCTGCGGTGAGTTTGCCTTTCGTTCTACTGTTGTTAAGGTATACAGATGCAAATGTCCTGACTGATCATCATAGGTTCAACACTTTAGTCCAATGACAGTTTTAGTAGCCCTTCTTTGTACTCCTTCTAAGATATTCGCATCTTTTTTCAGAAGTAATAGTGAACTTCTAATATTTGGCCACACCTAAGTCTTGTATAGTGGTATAAAGAGTCTTGGTGTATGTATTTCCAGTCGCCTAAAGCATAAAATACATTGCTTTAATGCCTTTGAATGCACCACCTGATTAGTTAAGATTTGTCTCTAATGTATCAGACAGGAGTAGACAATCTGTCTCAGTCAACTCCAAAATTGACATAAGAAGGTGCATACTTCAACTATATTTCGTACTTCATTAATCGAAATTGAATTTTCTGAATTGAAGGCAATTTAAATTAGCTTCATGGGAAAATCGGCAAGAATTATTATTAATTATGCCAAAACGGACTTTTTTCCAGCTTATTTAAATATGTAGACAATTTTATTTTGACTGTTACCTATAGCAACGAGAATTTAAATCACTTCAATATAAGAATATATATATATAAGTTAAAAGTTATTCAACTGAGAGAGTAACAGGAAAAGAAAATCAGTTTTGTATTTAGTCAACTAATCACTTTTAAAATGGGAAACAGTGTTTTTAGAAAAAATCACCTTCATTGTTATTTCTGGCTGAACTTTTTATTTTTGATTGTCATTTTCATTGTCTACCTACCTTAATTTCATTCCAGTCGAAGTGTATTGAAAAGCTCGATAAACAAACTCAAATAACGTTGGAATATTCTGAAACTGCAAAAGAAACTGCTTCATTGAATCAATCAACTCATTCATTATTAACGAAGAGTAATTATCATTGTGACGGCAATGTCCAAAAGGCAGAAGATGAAACGAATCAACAGATAGAAACACAATTTGAATTGGTTAAATCAACAACGGAAGAGTTTCTGTATCAAAAGGAAGAGAATGATGGCAATTCTAGTGATAAAATTTATCAAGATATGGATTTATTGGATGATGGAAGTAAGGTTTTTAGAAATGTTATTGTATTTTAGTATGAATGCGTGATGGCATATATTACTCACTAATATGATATCATATGTTATGGTTAAATAATACTCACATCAACAAATACTGCTTGCTAGTCAGATTGAAGCAGCCTAAACACCAGAGGAACGTTTCAATCATCCCAGACTGAGTTTATAGATTGTAATCACTTTTGCGACTCATATCTGACAGCCAAATTAGTTCAAACCACCCGAATTGGGGAGAGCTTGCCAGCTACTTCGTCGAAATGGTAATATTTCGAACCCGATTCTACCTGAAATTTCACCACAGTTTCTTTTCGGAACCAGAACTATTCAGATCATAGTTTGTGATCTACCTGAATTAATATATGACGATCAAGAAAGCAAGTATAAATGTATCACTGTGTAAACTGATAACTGACTGATATGAATTGAGGGATTCAATGTAAGTTCTCCCAAGTATCTGGCAAGCTAGAATTTACCTTACTGATCTGAGACATACCAGGTATAAAACTGGTGAGCTCTGCCTCAAATTAACTGAAAATCCCTCTGTTATCTAATTCACTTCTCTCTGGTTATCAAGCATTACTAGCTGCTGATGTGATTAGTATACGGCTACTATGGTGAATTTCACATCGAACTGCTTGTAATTAGCAAATTATGGATTTGATTAGGAAACAATTGCATGGAAAATTTAACTACTTTTACGTTTTTAAGTAGACGCATTAGAACTTCAAAAAATTAATTGGTGTTTAATAATCTAGAAGGTCAGAGTTGAAAGTACTCTTGTGTTTAATTACTTTCTGGACATATTTCTAATTCAGGAAGGTGTTTCATATAAGTTGGATTGAATTTTTATTCTTTTTAGTGAAATTCTCGCCATAATCTAGAGATATGATATTGTGAATTATTTTAAATTATTCAAACACAGAATTGCTGTATTTTTCTGAGGAAATGGTGTATTTTCAAGTGTTATTTTAAATTTGATATGATGATTTCATGTAAAATACTTGAAGACTTAATGAGAACTACAGAAATTTTCCAGTGGTTAGCTCAAATCACTTAGCAGTCTAAATTCTAATCTAACATAGTACATTAGATTTTCTCCGCTTATTATTGTTTTAATCATTCATTCGTGTACTTGTTTGTTCCTTCACTTTGAAGAAGTTTGATTCGTACTGTTTTATCAAGATTCCCACGTATTCTGCAGATATCTTTGAAGTTGTTTTGTGGACTTGCTTGACCGAATATGTTCTGATCCAGTCAGAATACCAAGCAAAGTAATCATACTTCTTCAAAGTGAAGAAACAATGGCATTTCACATGTTAAATCCTGAACTCTGCATACAAAAGAAATTTATTCAGTCATTAAATACACAGCGGACCTGATCTATCTTAACACTAAATACGTAATTTTTGTGTTTGTTCCTTAATTGTATTATTTTCTTCCCCCACCCGCTTTTAAATCTCTACCCCTTAATATCACTGTCATTAACTTGACTTTCGTTCAGTTTTAATTTTAGATGAGCTCTACTCAACATGCTTATTTAGCTTCATTCTACTTCCTACCCAATTGACTCTTTCCACATTACGTAATCTGTTATCTAAAATTTACAATTCTAATGACACACGTTTAGGAATATTCCTTTAGTTGCTAAGAAAATTTACCATATATATGCAATTGTACAGCTTGAGAATGATATCGCCGAAAAGAGTAACTCTTTTATGTATGTCCAAACCAAGTTCACTTTAAATAGTTTGAAAAAATTTGGGCATTGGGTATATGATATTAATTGTAATAAAGATTTTTTGTATTTCCCAATGAATGAAAAATGACACACTCTCTGATAACGTGTGAGAAAGAAAAGAAGAAATATCAAACATTTCTGAGACTCTCAAGCAAAACAACTACCCAAAGAACTTCATCAACAAAATCAACGCTGACATTAAGTATGGTCGAAAACGTATTCCGAAAACATGAACCTCAAATGTTGTCATTCCATACATAGCGGAGACGTCAGACGATATCAAAAGAGTACTCAATAAGCTCGACACCAGAGTTTTCTTTAAAACATCAGACACACTCCGAAACAACCTTGTCCATATAAAAGACCAAATCCCTAAAGATTTTCTATCTAATTGTGTCTATAAAATAAAATAAGTGGAATATGATGCGATATACATCAGACAAAACTCACCAGAGAGAAATCAAAATCAGAAGAAATGAACACCGTAGAGCATCTGTTCGACCACCAAGAAATCCAGTTGAACTAGAAAAGCTTGAAAAATCATCAGCTATAGATCTACACGCTATAGAATCAGGCCACAGAATTGACTTTGACAATATTGAAATAATTCAGAAAAATTTCAGAAATCACAAAAAACGTCTAATATCAATCAGAAGGACTTCATATCAAATGGAATCTAAATTGTCTGAATAGGAATAGTGGACTAAAACAGAATTTGACCTGGTTACAACACACAAGACCCGTCTCCCCTCGAAGTGACAAATCAACACGAATGTGATAAGCAATCTCACACGCTGTTCTTATAATTGTACACACTTATCAAATACAACAATCTACACCTGGTTTTGTTATCTTTACTAATTTGCCAATCTGACAACGAAAAATGACCTCATGCTGAGGGACGATGATTAATTTGTTACATATAAGCTGAGATTTTGTAAATCCTGGTTAAATACTACTTTGATAAAGCTATCAGCAGCATTAAGTAGCGAAACGTCAGTAAAAACAACTGTATCGTTTTGTTTTTCATTCATTGCGAAATACAAAAAACCCTTATTGTAAGAGTAACTCTTTGCTGTACACCTTTTCTCTTATATAATACATAATTTCATCTCGAAACTTGGATGTTTATTGTTTTCAACCGACTCTTCTCTACACCTCATGAGGAAATCTCAAAGGCAAATATGATTACTCTTCGAAAATGTTTACATAACTTTTCTTTCTTTTGCAAAGTGTTTTGAACACAAGCTGTATCAGTGGTTCAGTAATAGAATGCTCACAAACCAGACACACGGAAGGTGAAGGTTCACTTGTCCGCCAGCACACTCTTAAACCCTGAAAAGAGGGAAGATTAGCCCTGAAACTAGTAACTACAGCTGTGTGAGCAGAACAACAACACCAACGCTATTGAGACTTATGTCTCAATAAAAACTCAAGGAATGGAAAAAAAGCGCTGTTGTAAAATCTTGTAACAGTATTTCAGTGTAACACATGTCTAATCACTGTGTTCTCAGGTGGTTTCAAGACGAGGTAAGGTTGGAGGACAAAATGCGTTCACTATATTCAACATTCCAACAACTAGGCTTAATAAATCATTCTAAACATGTATTCATTCTATCTAAAAGTATAATTCCCTACCTATTTACAGAATCGCCAGGAGTTATTGAAAATAAAAATACTATTGAGCCTACAACTTATGAAAGGGAGGAGAGTGAACCCAGGAATAATGACAATTCTGCTTCTGCTACTGCTGCTGCAGAGATAAAATCTGATCTACGAACAAAACCAAGTGAAAAAAGAAGGACAAAAAGTAAAAGAAAAGCACCATTGCCTAATTCACCACATTTTGCTCATCATCAGCTGTCTAATAATCGTCAAGTAATTGAAGAAACCGAGCAGAAATTCCCGCGTGGTACGGCATCTATCAGTGCAAATGAGGAATGTAAAGATTTACTTGATGAACGGGAAGGGAAAGGTACTATTTTTATACAATTCTTAAATTATAATTTCTCAGTGAGATATAAAATAAGGATTTCAGTGAATAAAATTCTCATTATTGTAGCTGTATACTGATTACTACAAACAGTAACAAGTAGTATATGTATTGAAAACAGTGTTGACGAAGAACCCGAACAATTGAAAGAATTTTGTGTAGAAAATGGGTATCCAATATGCTTTTTTGAATTGTTATTACTATCCGCTTGGGTTCCAAGGAGAAAATCGGACCTCAATATCACATCTCCATTACATCTCGTTCTCTGCAGTCCACTTTAACTGGTTCCATGATTACCCCTAGGCTGTCATCTCTTCTTCACACAATCTCCTCCATGTCATCCTCGGACTGTCGCCAAAATCGTCATTTTTCCTTCGGGTCCCATTCGAGCGAAAGCCTGGCACGCGATGTCACTCAATGTTCTCCTCGGCATGTCTGATCTATTTTCATCCGTATATTTCTTAGGCAGTAAGCTGTTGGTTGACAGAATTCCCTGTTGGTTATTCTTCTTGGCTATATGATCCTCAGTATGTGGCGTTGGCAGCTGTTGATGAAAACCTGAAGCTCGTTTGAAATTCCCTTCATAAGACGTATGCCAAGTCTCTGAACTATATCAAAGCACTGACTGACTTGACATTAATGTTGAAAATCGGTCTATTTTCCTTTATGATGGGTACAGCATATTTCAACACTGATTTCAGGGTAATGAAGGTCTGCCTCGCCTTTCCGATCCTAGTTAGCTTTGATGTTCACATTCGTGACGCCTGTAGTTGAAACGACGCTGTTAAGATAAGTGAAAGAAGTGATCTCCTAGAAACTTTCTCCGCTGATAGTGGTTAGTACTTGTAGTTGTTAGTCGTCTGGCATCTTCCCTATGTTCACTTAAAGTTCTGTCTTCGCTGCTTCTTCTGACGACTTTTTGGTTTTCGCCTATTGGATTTCGACTTTGTGTGACATTAGACATAAATCGCTGGCAAAGTCCAAATCTTCTAGTCTTCTTATTGGTACAACACATTCATGTCTTCTCACTCCCCCATGACATACCGCGTGATCCATTTCACTACAACTGAGAATATCCTAAGTGATAGTAGGTAGTCTTTTCTTACTGTTGTCTTCACTTCAAAGGCCTCGCTGAGTTTCCTGTTGTGGATCACTTGAAATGTGACATTGTCATATGGCTGTTGAATGGGGTTGGTAAGGGTTCGACGCACTCCTTAGCGTTGAAGTAGTTTCCGAACTACTTTGCGATCAACGCTGTCAAGGGCCTTTTCAAAGTCGGTGAAGTGGAGGTAGAGATTTGACTGCCATTATATTCTTTGAATTATCTCCCTTCCTATATGTCTTTTTTCCCTTTCATTAACTCTCTGTGCTTCCCCTATTTGTATGTGTTTCACATCGAATTGTGTGGTAACTTGAACTGATACGTTTCTGTGTGTAATTCCATTTCATAGGAATAGGAAAAAATAGGAAGGACATCGTCATTCTACCAGCTGACAAAGGAAGTAATTCCGCTTCATTTTATCACTCATTCAGTAACCAGGATAGATAAGAACTGTTTGCTTGTACCACTTAGTATTCTTTAGAATTATATACTTATGACTTTGATACAATTAGATGTCTCTTTATGATCTGCACACTTCTGTTGCTGATTGTTAACCAGAACAGTTGAAACAGTATCTACATGAGAATTTACTAAGTCTAAGTAGAAGGTGTTTCAGTCTCTGTTATTTTGTATTTCTCAGAAAAATCAAACACATACTCAACATAAATCATTCACTTATGATATCCTAGTCCTTAAATTTTGGTGAGTAAATAGAACAAAATGTTTCAATTATTTTTCTAATCAGATAGTCAGAACTATCCTTGTAACTGGGGTAAAATAATTCCGACCTTCAGAAGGGCATATTTAATTTGGCTACACTTGTAACAACAGAAGGCAAGATATGGAAGCCAAGGTATATTTTTCATTAATCAAACAACTGTTCATATATACCGTGTATATTCTTTAACCCATCACTGAGCGTGTGATTTTGGCTTACATTAAACGACATGAAACAGAATGTTCAAACATACATAGTATTCTGTTGCTAATACAGTAGTGAACTGTGGGAGTATGTGAGAATCATATTCCGTTGGCACACACTGTCTCTATCACACCACCTCACATTTTGATTCTATAAGCTTTAACAACCCAATGTTTATAACGGGCTACTTCGCTGATAAATTAATTTATTCACTCGATAATATTGAAGGTAGAAAGTGGGTTGCCTGTGTGAGAAGATGACTACAGGAAGATTTCAGTTGTCTTCATGTCAAGTTGGTTAACTCGACTCCTGTTAGTTTATATTTATTGTCAGCCTGCGACAAGGTGTGTGTGTGTAGATGTATAACGCCTTCCCAATAAAAAAGCTATCTACTCAGATTCAAAACCTCAAACAAAAACACCTCATTAGAAGTGTAAAGTAATGACTATGCTAAGAAGAAACTGTCAATGCAATAGTACAACTGCAATCCTGAATCTTGCAGTGTTTCCTCTATACAAGAATTACGAATTTTGCTTAAAATCGCAACTTTTCATTAACATTGGATTTCTTTAAATTATTCTTTTTCCTTCAGGTGTCATTATTTCAAATAGTCCACAAAGAATCGAATCAATCAATAAATATAATAAACCAGTACAACAATTACTCAGTTATAATACTGATCATCCAAAAAAACATTCACCAATAGGAAGTCAGTTTAATGTCAACCAATCACATGATCAGGTGACCAGCCATACTATTGGTCGAGATATAGAATTAACCAATCCAATTCACCATCCTACAGCAAATATATTAAGCAGTGCAATATTAGACAGACCATATATTAATGCAGATGAAATTCACACTTTATTTAATCGTAATATCCCCAATGCTGTTACACCAGTCAGATGCCATCAAGATTTTGGATATGTTAATCCACTCCATACGAAGATCAGTTCAACATTACCACGTGACTATCGGTCCAATAGCAATACTAGTAGTGGTAGAAGTAATACAAGATATGCTGACCAGCCATCACATTGGTTAAATGCAGAATATCTTAAAGATATTAAAAGTGATAAGATATTACGTGGACCAAATGAACCATTTGTTGTTGCGTCACAACATGATGCTCTTTTGTCAGAATTATTAAATCGTGGTAAAGAGTCAAGGGTTGTAGAACCACGTCCAAAGAGTACATTTTAATATACACTTACAGAAATCGAAACATAATCCAAATAATTATGTACATATCTACTACTATAATGTTAATTATTACTTAATCATCAAATAGATTCATGAGAGATGAAAATATTCGATGGAATGAACATTTCATGTACTATAAAAAATACATTCAGAATAGACAAATACAAACATAGTTCCAGAAACAAGGCTGAATAAAGTTTGAGTCCAGAGAACCAGAAAATAATCCAAAAAATTTCTAGACACAGAGTAGAATATATTATACATTAATTTATTACCATTCTCTTCATTCGTATTAAGCCTAATATTAACAACATAATAAATATGTACAATGAAGAATATATCAAATTTAAAATGTAAAACTTTATACGATTATATATATATATATATATATTAGAAGTAAGAATAAATTGGTGAAATAAAAAACAAGTCCTTCACATAGCCACAATACCGTTTGAGAACTCCTGAGTATATCAGATAGATAAACAACAGTGACAAAAAAAGAAAGAATGGATACGGAACAAAGAATACTCTTTTCGATAATCTGTTCTTCATCAGGTTCTACAGTTACATATACATTATAGTGAATGAATGAATTAATGTTATTAACAACATTAATGTTTTTTAAATAACATCGAATCAATAATATTGATAGATTACAGTTCAATAGCATCAACATAAGAGTAAACTGAATGTTAGAAAAAATTAGGAAAGATAGTAATACAAATTCATGAATTTATAGTCCCTACTGAAGGTCAGAGCAGTAGTAGTGGCTGGACTTGCCTCTTTTGCACACAAAGCACTGGTTGTTTCACTCGAATTGCGATATCCTCTGTGGTTTGTAGCATGTGGTACCTCGATTTTTTGGCAATTTACTTCGTGCCCAGTAGATGATAGAGAAGGATTCTTCAATCCTGGCTTTGTGGCCGGTTTGGACCAGGTGGTCTAATGTCGAAATGCTGATGGTTTTTACTACACCTTTACTTAGACATACTGGGAGATGTTCTCGAGCACGAAAAATCAAGTTCCTAGAGCAACGACCGATGTAACTCTCTCCACAAGCTCAGATGAATTGGTAGATACAGTTGGAAGTGGCTAGCACAGTGGTTAGGACTCTCGCCGACCATGTACATGGTCCAGAGTTCGATCCCCTGCCGGCGCACACCCGATATTATGGTCGACCTGAATTTGGGCTACCGATATCCATGCTGAAAGTTCCATACTTGTACTGAAAATACGGTGTGAATCAAGCTGTAAATCAAAATAAAATAGCATAGGTGCTTCATTTTTCAATCGAAAAATCACCATCTGTCGTGTAGAGAAAAAGACATGTAGTCTGTCAGCACTAAGAGTTCTTTGAACTGATTTTCCTAATTTCTTCATAATTATTTGGCTTGGTATATCGCCCTTGAATTGCAGTCGCATGCATAAACGCTTCTTGTTTACGGATAGTGAGTAGTCGTTTTCCGCTTTCTTTGTCACGTGTTTCTCGATAAATTTGTCGGGATAGCTATTTTCAGTCAAGGTATCACATACAATGCTTAATTCATCTTCAGTTACTTCTTCTGAGCATATAGCTCTAACCGTGTGGTTAAGGGTCTTAACTAAATTTCTTTTGTACTGGAGAGGAAAGAAGATGTGAAAATGTGTATATTGTATTGTCCATGTACTTTCCTAAACAAATTTCTCTTTATGTTACCATATGGTTTTCTTGTAAGAGGACATCCAGGAAGGCAATCCTGTTTTGGGATTCCTCTTCGCACGTGAATTTCATAGCAGAATGTACTTCATTGAATTCAGTTATTATTGTGTTCCTATCCGAATCATTATAACAAAGAATAAAGGTGTCATCCATATACCGGCGATAAAATGGTATTTTTCTGAAAATGTTTCAATCAGTTAACAAAGGAAAGGAAAAACAGTAAAGTAAAGATATAAAAGCATTTTATGTGAGCAAGGGGGGAACGAGCGGGAGTGAAGACTGGAGGCTGGAAGGTATACGACGGTTTAGCGAGTATCCAATAGCGAGTACGAATCCCGAATAAGGCGTAATAATTTCGAAATATGCAGTGTGTAAGGTAGCATATTGTGTGAAAGTTTGATGTATGATGCGAGTTTGTTTGTTTGTTTTTTCTAATGGAATTCATAGACTACTGAATAGTGGACATTTGAGTAGCATGGGAAGGCAGTGGATGTTATTCGTGGGGATGTTTCGGTATCTGTGTGTGTGTGAATTTCGAGTCGGCGTGTTGATGTGAGCGTGTGCATGACTGTTGTGTTGATGTGAGTGTGTTAAGCTGACAGGTTTCTTGTGTGTTAGCAAATGATTGATTTGGAGTATGGTGTTTGAAAATAAGGTGGGTTGTGATGATGTGTCTTGCTTGTTTCGGGTTACGCATGTTGAGATCTGTGATGATGTCCTTCTAACAGGATACTCATTACACGTATGATGATAGGCGTTGCGTGCTTCTTGCACGACAGGTGAGGCCATGTGGACTAGCCTGAGCCATCTGATTCCCCATGTCAACCCCATGTTTTTCTCACAAATAACACAATTGTCGTCCTTGCAGGAAGAATCACTCCTTGCCAAACAACCAACCACCCAGCCAGCCGGCCAATCTGTCTACACAGAATTACATTCAACCACAGAAATACATACACACATATGTTGACTACAAACCCCTCCTCCCTCTCACAACATTATCCGCACATCTCGGTCGGTCGGTCGCGCGCCAGCCGGTCGGCCAGCCATCTCTTTTCAAACAACTCACCAGTAAAACCCATACCACAACTGACAATCACGCCCTCGAAACAAACCGAAGTAATCACTCACCCACTCACTATCTCACTTTACATCGATCAATCAATCAATCAAACAATCAGTCAATGAATCAGTCGATTCCTTCATCTCTCCTGCCAGCTATCTTTATCACTCAACTCCACCGACCGCGCCGTCACTTGACAAGTAGCACGCCCCATCTCAGATTAGACAACGGGAATCCTACAAGCACGCATACAACACAGACGGTTCACTGTCTCACTGTGTGTGTGTGTGTGTGGTGTCATTGTCAGTGTGGCTGTCAGTGTCTGGCTTTGTCTTTGTGTGTAGCTTCCGAAGTGTGTGGATGTTCGTGTCTTGCAGACTGCCTGTCTGTATGTGTGTTAGAGTGTGTTTGAGTGTGTGTGTTTGTGTTTGTGTGTGTGTGTGTGCGAGTGCGTGTGCCTCTGGGTGGAATATCAAATATGTCAATGCTTCCGATGTTGGATTTCAGATGTTAGACGAAATATGGGTGAGTGGAGATGGAGGGAGAGTGGAGGCCGTATGCTGGATGCTGGATGCTGTAAATTGTACTATGGTTTATCGAAAATCGAATAGGCAATACGAATACCAAATAAGACAAAGGCATAGTTTTGAAATATGCAGTGTGTAAAGTAGCATATTGTGTGAAAGTTTGATGTATGCTGCGAGTTTGTTTGTTTTTTCTAATGGAATTCATAGACTACTGAATAGTGGACATTTGAGTAGCATGGGAAGGCAGTGGATGTTATTTGTGGGGAAGTTTCGGTAGCTCGTATGTGTCTTTTGTTTAGTCTTGGTGACAGTTCTTTTATTTTCAGTGATATTTTTTTGTGTGTATTTTTAGTTGCTCTTGTTTGGTGTTCGCTTTATATAGTATGTGAATGAGTAGTATTTTTCGGAGACGACTAGATGAATAAGTGTGCCGGTAATATGTTGATTTCGGTGAGGCTGTACGCTTATCAAGTTTGAGTTATGATGCCGGGAATATTCTTTGGCCTTTTTTGTGCTTGAATAGATTTTGGCCTGATTGTTGGCTGGATTTAGAGTTAGCGTCTAATATGACAAGTGAATATGTTATTGAATGTGTATCTACGTTTTGGATTTGGTGATGAACGTGTCTGGAAATATTGTATATGTGTGTGCATGTGTACGTTACACGTTCATCTATATTTCTATTGTGTGCTTGTGTGCAAAAGTGTGATTCTGATTTTCGGGTAACCGCTTTCTCTGTGATCATGTTTGTGAGCCTAATTTGGAATGTGTTCACGTTTCAGATGTTAGATGTGGGATACGGAGAGAGAGAGTTGAGCCTAGAATCTGTATTACGTTTAACTGAATATGGAATAAGTCATTTTATATTGATGTCTTGTGTAACTTTTTATGTTGCGTGAAAATTTGATGTATTCTGAGCTGCTGTCAATGGGATTTTTTGATTATTCACCTTTATCTAACGAAATTGTCTGCATATTCTGTCACCTTTTAGGTGGATGGTAGTATACGTATTGCTTAACTGCTATGAGCTCAGTTTTGGAGCATTTTGAATATTATTACTGTGATTGAATTCATTTCTGCTCATTTATTCGTCATAAATATAATTTTGTGATTAATAATGTTTTCTTATTTTGTTGCTTTCTCTCAAGCCAAATCGTTGAGTTTGGTAGCTATTTTTTTAAAGTTAACAATTCGACTTCTAGTGGGCATCTTAAATGCTGAGCAACTATGCCAGCATATAATCCGTTAAGATCACTATATTCACCTGATGTATTACGCATTCTTTCAATCGCTGAGTCATCATAAGTACATAATAGTATGTTTAATTAGAAGGTAGACAGAACAAACTGGAATCATATATGCACCAAATAACTACCGATTTTGAGAAATGAATACAGGAAATGTAGGTATAGTGTGAGATATGAAGGCAATTTCGAACAGATGATATGCGGGTAAAACATGGGAAGTAATAAAACGTCATATCTCGTTTATTCCTTAGTTTCAATGAATGAGTTTACAACGTTTTTCATACTTCCACCTTTATATTATTCCCACATATTCCACGTTGACAACAACTCATTTTATCTACGTTTTTCACCCTTATCGGAATGAAAAATTAAGTGAGACGAACCTGAAGTGCTTCCAAAATATATTATTTTATTCCAAACAAAAATGTACAAGAAAATATTGTAAAAAATACTCAAAACAAAGAAAAACCTTTTTTGTGAATGTAAAACGCCAGCTACAACAGTGAATTGCTACATCCAGGTTGACAAACGATATTCATCTTCTGAGTATGAAAAAAAGATAGAAGAATAGAACTTGAGCAATGTTGAAAGAGAATGATCCCATCACAGAATAAATACTTCTGATAAAAGAGGAGATACACTGACATAGTTCTGTCTACTGATGATGACGTTTTGAGCACACATTATTGCTCAAAGTCATCATATCAAGATACTCACATTTGTTTCCAAATTTGCTTATGTAGGAGTTCCATTATTTCTTATCCTTTGATTTCATTGGTAGTAATATTTTCCATATTTCTGGTATTGGTGCGCTGCCTAATTCCTACGGCAATTGTTAGGTGTAGACTCAATGAATAAAGATTCAGCAATCAATCTCTCCCTTCACCTACCTATATTACTTTTTTTGAGTTGTAGCCCCACGCTTCACCCTGTTTTGTAACTATCTATTAGTGCACGCATTGCGATGGCTAAGTCTTTCTCTGAATTCCCAGTCTTCGTGGGGTAAGTCATTCTACACTTAATTAAATGTTCCAGTAATCTAACTAACCTCCTATCTACTGGTTTAGCTTATCTGTTTGACCTCGAAGTCATCGCAAGGTATCTTGCAAATTATATTAATCTGTCTAATTAGGTCAACAGGGTCCTTCAGCCTGCAGAGCTTGTCTCTGAGTGAGTTTTTAGGTTTGAATACCACCCTAATTCTTGCTTTATCAAGAATCCTACGTAAGTTTTCAGATACCACTTCCTTATATGGTAAACTTTGGATGTTTTACATTCCTTACTATATATGTTATGGTTAGTAGTTCCATTATTACTTTCCTTCTTTTTTCTTTTGAGGTTTCTTAGTGGATTTTATGAGATAGTTATTTGGCACCAACGCTTCTTCTGTTTATTTCATTTCGGATTACCTAAACTCACAAAATTAACTAAGAGTAGAATATTGAAACCTTGATGGCCAAGGTAAGGAAAGCGTCTGAACCAACTTCTTTTGGATCCTTAATTTGTTATAGAAATTTCTTTAAGTGTAGAATAATTGACCACACGAAGATTAATAATTTAGAAAAAGAACTCAGCCATCGCAATGCATGCATTAACACACAACCTCACAAAATGTTGAAAGAAAGAGCTACAATTCAAAAAAGTAATATAGGTAGGTAAAGGGAGAGATTGATTGCTGAATCTTTATTCATTGAGTCTACACCTAACAATTGCCGTAGGAATTAGGCAGCGCACCAATACCAGAAATATGGAAAATATTACTACCAATGAAATCAAAGGATAAGAAATAATGGAACTCCTACATAAGCAAATTTGGAAACAAATGTGAGTATCTTGATATGATGACTACGATCAAGAGTAAATTTTGCTCAAATAGACGTCAGAGAAAAACACCATATTCTAAACACAACTAACGGAGTATTAGAGTATAAAAATACAGCAAACACATTCAGAAAACTTACTTCATCTGACAAATGATCAGTTTTTTTTCTTCTTACTCTTTGATCATGAAACCAGTCTTTCGTTGCTTTTACAATACCTTTCGAAATCTCTTCTTTAGTCCCTCCGGTGTCTAACTGCCTACTCATAATTACATCTGAACATAGTATGATAGCTTCACTATAATATGCATTGTCTTACCAACTATTAATGTATAGAAGGTATAACGCCGTATGCCTATTTTGCCTACCGTTCCTTTATATGTCATTAAACGTGCAAGATTTGTATCCAGTATGCTGCTTAACAGTCGACGAGTTGATTTACTGATGTTATTTTGAACTTTTAAAGACATTTGACTCATCTAAAATAAAGGAATAATTAGTTATTAAATAATGTAGGAATATCTAATTACTATCTGTTCATAATAGGATTTACATTGACAAAGTCTTCTATCAAATTCTTGTAACATATCCATTGTTTTGATAGGTAGCTTTATGTCATCTAACTTTTCATCAGAAGTGTACCGAGGCTGAATCGATTCTTCCGCTTCTTCTCCTCCTAAGTGCAGATGTTTCAGGATTTTCATCTGCTCATCACAGACTTTCTGCAGAAGACCTATAAACAAAAGATGAATAACTCTGAGCTTTCATTGTACCTTGCACTTCTCTTAAAGATGTTACTAATTCCTTCAGATACTTTGTTGTACTTTTTGATGATCTGAAATGGATGATAATGGCTGATTAAAAGAGCTTTTTTACTTACGATATGGGGATACGGTTGATTGTGGGTACCGCTATAGCATTTTGTGATGAGATAAAAGTACTAATTTTTATTATGGTTAGTTGCTGAAAAATAATCTCACCTAGCAATCTTTCTATTATCTTCCAGACTACTGTCACAGTCTGCGAAAATGTTGTCTTCAAATACGCGACTCTGATTTTCCATAGCCTTTGAAGGAAAATCTTCTTTGACAAAAGATTCATCCTTGTTAACACTATATATTATATAAGGTATTTATTTGTATACAAACGAGTATTCTAGCATACATTCTTCGTCTTTTATTAGGGCTGAAAAAAGCTGACTCTGATGACTGAATATTCTTCATTCGATTGAATATTTCTTTAAGTAGGTGTATGCTAGAAAGAGCTTCTTTTAAACTGCCTACAAATACATTTTAAAAAAATTTTAAATAAAGATAAAACCTGTTTCACAAAGGATTTCACAAGTTTCAGTCTTCCAACTCATATCAGAGCATTCTAGATCATAGTTTTCATCTTTCCCTTCTTTTTCTTCTTCTGTACAGGTCTTGTTATTCGTTTCATGTAACCATTTATCTCGACAAAGTAGAATTTTATTTTTTCCATTCACCACAGTAATCCGATATTTTCTCATGATGACTGCAAAAGTAGAAGGCATAATTGAAATGTGCAGTTTTATCATTCCTAAAGGTATATATTTATGCTGGTTAATTAAGCTGCAGGATAATTGTTAGGATAGAGACGGGATTATTTCTCGCATGAGTTGCAAATTAGACATTCCCGAAAAATACCCACTCAAATGTGGAGATAAGAGCAAACACTTTAGCAAAGTGACACATTTTTGTGGCGAATTCATTTTGCGACTTCTCGTATTTTCGGAGTTATTATTTGTTAGAGGGTTGGATGCAGTTGGCGGGAAGTCCTGGACAAAGATTCCGTGTAAAGCGACACTTGTTAGCATGGTTGGTTGATCAGCAAAACTGAAGGAGATTGTAACCCACGTGTTCCAGTGCTCCAGCCACTGAGCTATTCGGTCCTACAACCGACCTCCCGACTTTTCTTAAGGGGAAGGGGAGGGAAATAATGCCGTGTGTCTAGGCCCTGGTATTGGTATGGAAGTTTTCATGTGTTAGTTGGTAAAACAAACAATCATGTCATTTGTCAAAAATATACCCATCCCGACATGGGAATAGAAAGAAACAGTTCTGTGAAGAGACATTTTGGTGATGAATTCATTTACTTAGCCGTGCAATCGCAAATGTATACAATTGTCTTTCTGGTATGCGTGTCTGCATTCATCCTGTCAAAACATAGCATAGCAGTAAATTAGTGTAGAATAGTCTTTACACCATCAAGATATTTGAAAACAGTGATGAATGGCCAGACTGTAACCGGGGAAGTGAACAGTGGTAAGTTTAGACTAATGTTGAGTCATATGCAAAGTGTTCAAAACGAATCAGATATTCGTGAAAGAGCATGCAGATAAGCATCAAACTAAATTATGTACCAGATAACAGAGTGAGAGAAAGGCTGGTCAAGAAGATGATGTTATTAAATGTCATACCGAAAATGCAAAAAATGGTTCAGAGTTATACTCAGGATAGAAAAAGGTGATGGAGAAGTTCCTTTTGTGTACATAAATCAGGGATTTCCACATTAATAGGTAAGGCCTCAACAATTCAAAGTATATGGAAACATATCGTTTTCGGGAGGCTTCTTTTGACATACATACAGAAGTGATCAAATGGGATTATTTATCTCTAGAGTTATTGTAGAACATTCGGCAGCAGGAGAATACTAATACTAATGTAGATGCAAAGAATATTCTTTTCAGGACGTTTGATATTCTTTTCTCTGAAGTGTCGGCCAGAAAGCCGCCTTCCAATACCACATTCATGTATAACCTCTCCTTTTTTACAGAGATGATGTCTTCTTTTTTGGTTTTAGATTTTATTTATTTACTTACGAAGCGTATGTTAGTCATTTTCAGTAAGTGTCCCCCTCTAGACAGTGGTCTTTTCATTTACCGACACAGGACTGCAAATTCTTAGGATCCTAATCACAGGAGATATCATGAGGTTTGGCTGGAGGTTTATGGTTACCAAACTGTAAAAGATTTTCAGCTGGTTGTTCTACATAGGCATTCGAACTTGACTTGGACCAGCGATCGAATCATTGAATTTCTATTGGTTTGTCGTCAGCCAGTCAGAATGGAGTGACGTCAATGCATACTCCTGAATTCACCAGTTTCACTGAACAAGTCTTACCAGTATCTGTGGCAGTAAATGTTGTGTGATAGTCATATCTAGACAACAGTTTTCACGGTTAAACACATGAAATTGCATATTCATTGTTGCATGCAAGTATATGACTGTCCTGTTATATCAAAAATGCTTCTTTTACTGGTGTACTTTATGGGTAAGCGTTAACATCTATCACTCGTCAAAGTATGATTTTGATATTTTAAATTTGTAATCTTACGGTAATGTAAAATAACTATATATTTACCTGCATCGCCTCGTCATTAATGCCTTTTTCCTGAGAAAACAAATATTCGCCTTCTCAGTCGGGGAATATTATTCGAGTGATTAGTTATATATTGTCGTGTGCTGGAGTATCGGTTGGGATAAACCCACGACTAGTATTATCTCGTCTACTTCAGTAATCCAAAGCTAAACAGGTAGGCGAAGCAAACTGAGATTGTAAATCACCATTCCGATTTAATCTGACGAATGTATCGGTCACTGTTAATAATTGACAAACTAACTGTGAGTTGTCCATGTTACACTAGACGTGCATGTGTTATGGCGTCAACCGCGACCCATGCACTTTCATTGGAAAACTGGATACATATTCATATTTAAATATTATCTGATTACAGTCAAACAGCTTTAGGAAATGTGGTGTTGCATCTTTACATGATCTGAACTTAGTAATCTTGTCACATTCACCAGTCTCACTTGTAGTTCTGGGTTGATGATAGGCAAAAATATATAATTGAGAAGTAATTCCACATTAGTTTGTTTATTAGATGTATCACAGAGTGAAACAGTATTATTTACTGGATGACGTTTCGAACAAAATTTACTGTTCATAATCATATCAATTGTAATCACACGACTTTGAAACTTGAGTTTTATGTGAAATTAATAAAGAGGTAAGAGGTGAGAAAATAGACTTAGGTCAAGTTTAAAGGACATATTCAAGGTCAAAGTAACAATGAAGACCACTAAACGAAATAACAGAGGTAATAGTACATCTGCTATGGTTTCAAAGCAAAATTTACCAAGGAAGGTTTAATGTGATGACGAATTGTTTTTGAACGCATAAAGGTGGCTTAAACATTCTAATTGCTAGGGCTTCCACAAACTTTAGGATACGCCCCAAACACGTTTTATAGATAGGTTTGAAAGATCTGTTAACGTCAATTTTATGTCCTGTCTCTATTATATGTGTCGCAATAGAAGAGCTAGGTCTCCTGTTCTCACCGTTAATAGGTTCTGAAGATTCCATTTGTTTCTGGAGCCATTTAGGAATATGCTCTGAAGCCCTTACTTGCAGAGATCGATGAGTCCTCCCTATGTATGTGTGTCCACACGTACATTCAAATTGGTAAATACAGTGGGATGTGACGTCATTTTTCGCATGTTCGAAGGGCTTAGATAGATATATTGGCTTTACATTCTCTATTATTATGGTATTGGGGCATCAAAGCAGCTTGATAACTAGACAAAGACTGAACGCTGCTGTCACAGCTGCAACCCCAGCATTATGTCCTCAAGTGGCACTTTCGTCCTAAGTTCGGGTTCTTGGTCAGAAATGAGTTCATTTCTGACTGTCTCTTTAGCCATCCGAAAGTGCCACTTGAGGACATAATGCTCGGGTTGCAGCTGTGCCTGACTTCCACAGTATTTAAATTCTAAGGGAAAATATACAAACAAACTGAGGGAGTTGCCATGGAATCACCAATATCCCCGGTTGTAGCAGATATATTCATGGATAGGTGGGAAAACTTAGCAATTGAAACGTTCACCTCCACCCCAAAAGTATGGTGGAGGTATGTAGATGATACATTTACTGTACTTAGAACACAGGATATAGATGGATTTTTCGAACACATTAACTCAAAGGTGGAGGCAATTCAATTCACTTATGAAATGGAAAGTCAGGAAGGGGAACTGCCAATGTTAGATTGCAGCGTAAAAAGGAAAGAAGATGGGAAGTTAAACACTAGTGTTTACAGGAAACCCACACACTCAAACAGATATTTGGACTTCCTATGTCAGTAAAAATAGGATTGGTGAAATGTTTAAATGACAGAGCACAAAAATTAAGTAGTACCAAAGAAAATCTAAAACAAGAACTGATACACATAAAAGAAGCCTTGAAACTTAATAATTACCCGGATAAATTAATCAAGATATATGTAAGGAAATGTAAAAATAAAATAAATAATGATAGTAGCGATAGTGATAATAATAATAATAATGATAATGATAATAGTGATAATAATAATATTAATGACGACACCAACAATAAAGAATCTAAATCATCAGTAGTAATTCCATACAAGGAAGGAACCTCGGAAGCCTTACGCAGGCAGGAATAAAAACGGCATTCAAACCCACAAACTCAATTAGAAACAAGCTTTGTCGGTTAAAGGATCCTGTAGAGCCTTTAAAACAAAACAATTTAGTTTATCTCATACCCTGCAATGATTGTCAGGTCAAATACATAGGTCAGACTAGTAGAACAGGGGTAGTCAGACTAGCTGAACATAAAAACCTAGCAAAATCTAGATTGGTTGACCCGAATAAGATAAAAAATCTAGAGAATAGTTCAGCTACAGCACTACATGCAGTCACACACAACCATACAATAGGATGGGATAGGATGACAGTTTTAAAATCTAATGTCACAGGGTATAGGGAGAGATTGATAACAGAAGCTTTGTTTATCGAATCAACTGCAAATACATGTAATAGGAATGATTCATCACCTGTCCCCGATATCTGGAAAATTCTACTACCCCTACAACAAATAGGAGAGGACAAGGAAAACTATATAACTCAACTTTCAAAGTCTTGTGATTACAATTGATATGATTATGAACAGTAAATTTTGTTCGAAACGTCATCCAGTAAATAATACTGTTTCACTCTGTGATACATCTAATAAACAAACTAACTTGAAATTGTTTACTACCACAGTGCCCAAATTTTATAGATATATTAATATTTGTGAAGTTATCATATTGAGTGAGATTCTCTTCCAAAGTCAAAAGTCTGTTTATTTAGGCGCATTAATATGACTGTTTGGCATACAGTCGTTGAAGACACAAACGGATATCTTTGAAAACTTTAAAGCCACTCTTAGCAGTTAACGTCTTTTTGCATATCCGAGAATGCTATGAATAAATCCTTATGGGAAATGGAAATCCTCAGGAAGCTGCTGCACAACATTCCCGGTAAGATGGCATGTAGGACAGACGGTTTTAGATACAACGAAAATATCTTGCATTTAATAGCCTTTCAGAAAGGAAGGAGTTCTAAAGTTCTAGATTTTCTTTAGACGTCTTTCTATGCTATCACTGTTCATGCCTATGAGTCTGCAACCAACTAACCTTAGCTAGACATCTAGGAGTCTCCTCACAACACATAGATAATCAAGACTAATCTAGTCCAGGTGAAAAGTGTTCACTATATTAACAGCCAAACTTTTAAAGTTAGGTGCTTTCCTATGATAGTCTCCATCCGATTCACTTTTCATCAGCATTTTTTGGAGTATCAGTGTTCTATAAACTGCATGTTGGGGCTAAGCTATTGTACCATCAAACATCACCGATCACAATTTTTCTCACTGTTACTGTAGTTTATGCACTTGTTATGTTACCTATCAGGATTGTCATACGCAGTACTCTTTGGATAGAAAGATATGTTTCTTCCACATTCATTTACAAATAAGTTTTTCATCTCCCCAAATATGAAACTTAAAAACAGAATAAAGTCCTCCTGTAATGAAAACTTCTTCATACACCGATTATATATATATATATATATATATATGTATATATATATATATATCACTGATTAATGGTTTTACCAACCTACCCCGTATCGGTCAAACTTGCTGTATACTTTAGGTAATCAGTGTTATGATGTCAAAAGATGAAAACTTACACTCAAAAACTCAGCATGGACGTAAAAATATTATGCAAAACAATAAGGTGATGTATATTCCAATCTCTGGGCGAACGGGAGGTATATTCCATATTCAGTGGTGTCCCAGGAAGATGGGTTTTCAGGATACACATGATTTTCCCTCCATCAGTGTTAGGTCAGTAGAAGATTTATTAAAAGTCAGTTTTCCCCACGTGTTCTGTTAACTAGAAACTCGACACTGACCTAGATTCAAGGTCACGTCATAGGAGTTTTATCGGTACATACTATCCAGTCAGAACAGAGTTTTATATATCTTACACACTAGTAATTTATATCACGGAATATACACATTAGACCACAGGAAATATTATAAATACGGTTGCGGAGAAGATTTTCTTTACAACGAAGTCATCTACTAGGTTTTATTTACATTAAGTGAGTGAGAAAGTTCCAGAACTGTTTCCAGTCAAAGGTCAAACTAACGAAACTGCGAATAGGGATTAAAATGTGATAATAAACAGGAAGATCGGATAAAAAACGTAGTATGACCATCACTGAGAAAATTAACTCCTTCTGTGCAATTAGGGATTTAAAAACATAAATAACAGAAACAAACAGGAAGTTTGGATAATAAAGGTAATAGGAATAATCAATATTGAGAGAACTGATTGCCGCGGTAGAGACAAAGATTGGACATTATTCTCCCGGAAACATAGCGTGAACTTGAATTTTTGCTAATGCCTCATCTATGCCCAGATGCCTTGATCTTACCTCTCTGAGAAGTTTGATCGGATCTTGCATATGACTTTGTAATTTATTGGCTATTTAAAATAACTCTATAAATCATTGTAATTTCTAGTGAGTTCTCCATTTTGCATGAAGAACGCGAACTTTTACAGCACTGTCCAACGTGGCCAATTCCACCTTGAATAAATCTTCAGACCTTTCTAAAAGTAATCCCAGCATCTACCTCATAAATAAATAAATTCCATAAGTGATTTCAATACAGAATCAATTTTATTAGTGTAGCAATGACTAAATTCCTGAACAGAACAATATGACATTGAAGTACTTTCATTTGAGATGCTTCAAACTGTATCTGTGTCTAATTTAACAGTAACTGCAATTGTTCAAAACTGAAGGATACGTTTTTATAAACCGTCGCCAAAACTTATAATGGGACTTCAACACTCGACGAGAATACATTACTCATCAATTAACTATTATTCCCATACTGAGGAGGACACAGAAGATTGTATGAGAAGGGAAATATTTCTATTTCTTCAAGCTAAAGATCATCTCACTGGAAATTACAATTAATTATATATTGGTGTATAGAATTATGAGTCACAATTGATTAGATATATGAATGAATAACTAAATAAATAGAGGTCAACCTAAAGTTCAATAAATATGTGTGCAATAGATAATGGGAAAATAAAGCACATTCGGAAATGTGAATATGTGAATTTAATTTGATGGAGATATAGGATGAGCGAAATGTTATCACAATAGTAGAATAGAAAAAATGTTAGAATATGATAACATAAAGTGAAATAAAATAAAGCAAAAATAGAACGTGGTATAAAGAAGGATAACAAAGTTTTGTGACTCATAATCCTGTACATCGATATTATAGCACTTTAGTATTTCCTCTCACTATCAAACTTTGGCGCGCACACACACACAGAGGAAAACTAACTGTTATTGTCTATTGTAATTCATGCGATTGGTACAGCCAGGAAAATGAAATCGTTGTAAAGAGAACTACTTATATAGTTGCCTTACATAACTAATAAATTACTAGTATAAGATGCAAAAATCAATTCTTGAACTGGTAAGCACGTACTACTATAGATCCATTCACTTGACCCTTCATCTTCAATAGGACTGGATATCTGGTTTACAGGTGAAGCAGAAAAAACTGACTCAAAAATACATTGAATATTGCCATAATTTGTTCTCAAACATATATCTTTAAAATTATTACTTCAAGATGTCGAACACTGTTGTTGGAACTTGTCGAAGCTGCTGCGTCCATATGATGTACACGGTTCTTATCGCGAAAAAACCAACAGCAGAAGTATCCAGTCTTGTGAAAATAGTGAATAATTCAAATATCTGTCTTTCCTCCCTGCTTCAGTACAATGTCGATCCATGTTATTTCAATAAGAATGAATAGTAAATATGACAAACCCAATTATTGGGAGTACCAAGAGCGCTTAATATCACCACCTTGTAATGAGTTTGCCTGAGCACTACTAAGATACAAGTGAGGTCGAAGCATTTCTGATGCGTAATAGGCCACACATACTGATCAATATAATCAACAGATATATATATATAACTACCAAACAACGTTAATTGTTCAATTAGATCCTCATCTCTGGCTCTACTATAATATGTATAACATTTTTAACACAATACCTAAGAATTTACCAATCAAGTGGAGATATGTTTGTTGACAAATAATTGGTCAATATCAATATATCAATGATGGAATGATAATTAACGAGGAATATTAATGCAAGCAGTTAAAGGGTAGAAATGGTTACAACAAGTGGATTGTGTAATGTATAAATGAATTATCAACTTACCTGATAAGCACCTTGAAATTAGGGCAGCGGAAATAATTTAAAACTAATACTGACGTTTATTCCAGGCTTTTGTTAAGATCTCGAGTTAGAAAAATAAATATGCAACTACTGTTTGGTTGCACCTCAACATCAATGTCTCTCAGACATTCTAAATTGAAGAGATGTATTTATGTTATTTGTTTTCAACTTTTTATAAAGACGAAATAAGGTAGGGTAACACTGTTAGCCTATTAAATTTTAACCCACTTTTCTCCCACTCCATGGGCGAATAGCCATCCCGCGTTTGTCCACATTCCACTCATTTTTCTCCTAACTTGTCTCCCATGTCTGCCCACATTTCCCATTGTTATTCACCAAGTCAGTCCACCTAATCCCACGTTTTCTCAAAACACCAAAATAAGCCAAATGTAGTTATTTTCAAGGGGGTTAAATTATGTATGTGCTAGACATGGGGAAAAATTAGACAGTCTTACCCCATTTTTCATCCCATTTATCCCACATTTCCAACGGACAACTGCCTACTCTTGCCTATGTATCTAAAATAAACTAACGGAAAAAATTCTACTTTCTTTCCAATTCAATCCAATTTTTGGACGGAATCCATCCCATGTTTTGTCTTTATTTTCTCGACGTTCAAAAAATACTCACTGACTGAGAGACTGTATGGGTAGTAGGGTATGGATAGGTGAAATAATTTGTCCTCATATCCTTGACCTCATTCTCTTTAATTTTGTTTTTAGATTTACATGAATATTGTGCTTCTAGATAACCTTTGACCTATCTCTCATTACATTAATCTAACATTCTGAATGGCTAAAGATGCTAATTGAATTTCTTGGATAACTTGATTCGTGAACAAAGAATAATCTTTTCGATAACTTCTTCATCAGGTTCTACAGTTACATGTGTTCATAATAACTAGAGAATTATTGCTTTTAACAACATCACTGCTACTGTAAATTACATTGAATTAGTAATACTGACCAATTACAGTCTGAAAGTGTCTGTGAGTGATAATATGGATAAAAAATGTAATAGTAAACTAAATATCATATAAATTAAGAAAAAATAATAGAAAATTTATCAGATTATGGTTTCCACAGTAGGCTAGGTTGGCAGCAGTGGATGATTGGACCCGTTTCTTTTGCACACAAAGCTCCCATTGTTTTAAGAGAATTGAAATGACCTCTGTTGTCTGCAGTATTAGGCATTTAAAGGCCTTCTTTAAATTATTCGATACCCAGTAGACGGTTGAAACAGACTCTTCAATGTTAGCTTTGTGGCTGTTCCTAGAATGTTATATTCAGTCTGTGTGCTGTTTGCTACAAAAGATGACCTATCATAAAGTTTAGTTGATCAATGCCGTTTTGCAATAAAGGGAATAAATCAGCGCGAAAGTGATACTCTTGTCAGCTGTCCAGTAATTTCAGTAGGCTTAGAATCAGTTCTGAATACAGCATATGGGTTCACTTAACATGACATGGCATATTTGTGTTGGTTTTTTCCAAATAACTCTGTAAGTAATGACAAACTTAACATGAATAATTATGTATTATGCCCACGGACTGATATCAGTTAGAGAACTATTGAAAACCGCCGAGTACTGGATAGCTGTTTCATTCTAGTTTGGTGTTTTCACTAAAATCACTGGTTGGCAGAAGTTAGAATTCAAGGGCTCCTGAATTGGGTACCTGAAACCGGAAGGTCCTGGGTTCGAATTCCAGCAGGTGCGTACTTCCGAAGAGTGCCGAAAGAAACAGCGACCCATGGTTTTCAATGGTTCTGTAACTGATATCAATCCGTGGCCAATTTGACAAGAATAAAATCCCTACAAATTAACCCCTGGAAATTATGTAGCAGTTCGGAAACCGAGTGAAATTACTCTAGTTACCAATGTCGTATGTTAGCACGATAACACCAGTGAAAATCCGCGGCTCAGTTTGTTGATTATCTGTAACCGTAGTTTTGCTTAGAAATTTATTCTGCCATCAGTAGGTTTTTCATCTTTCAAGTAACATTCAAATAAAGTTACTAGAATCTTCATAAATTTTATATAACATTTGTTAATTGTTAGTGGAATGAAAACGTGGGCTACGGCATGATTCGAACCAACCAGCTCCATTATTCTACCAGATGAGCTACCAGACGCAGCTGTGCTAACTAGGTCATCACTTCATCACAAGTTATGCCCATCTATTGTGTAAATGAATGATATTTTCAATTGTTGGTTTGGGGGAATATGACTGACCTCAGTATTGATCACGAATTGGGTTCATTTTAATAATTATTGACAGCCGAAGAGTACTGGGACGCTGTTTGATCCAGATTTGGGAATCTTAAGCAGCACGTGACTATGACCCCCCAGCTAAGGATGGAACCTAGGATCTTCAGGTTCCAAGGCAAGGTCGTTGACCATTCAGCCTCTTGAACGGAATCCAGTGGCCCATGAGCTTTAACTCCTGCCAGTTCATGATGCATATCCCTACCGCTAGGCCGGATGTGAGAGGTCACACATTACATAGCGAATTAATGAAATTCGGAATACACGAACCGCTCAATAAATGTCGCCTTTATTCTCTCCTATTTGTGATCTATGGTGATAATATTTCAATTAACTTATAATTTTAGCTATTAACAATATTATCATTATTTTACACTTTTTGTATATTTTTGACTTTATTGTAACTGCGACTATCAAAAAAGCTGCTATTATCAGTCCTGTAATATTATTTTTTACTTTTATTTTTGCTTTTGGTAAGCGAATTAGATGCAATACTGAACCAAATGCTGAAAATTTCTCAGGCTATCATACGTGCTGTTTTGGAAGAGTGCAAATTATTATTCTTAAATTCCATCTCAGTGGATGAATAGTCTGCCAGCTCGTCTTTTAAACTGAAGGTCCTGGGTCAAAATTGATATGAATGGTAATTTAATGTCCTTTTTCCACAACAGTAGCTGCGCAGTTAGATCTTTTCCTGTCAATCCTAATCATGCTGAATTATAAGCAGAGGTGTGGATTGTTAGCTGATGAAGAGACTACAGAACCTTCAGCTTTATTAGCAGCAGTGCAGTGTAATGAGTGATTTAGTATTCTGACAATTTAGTGTCACTTTGTGTTCATGTATTTCTCTCTCAGTGTCAGTGTCAATGTTTGCAGTGAACGAAGTAGATTTCAGGATTTCATCATTAGCTGACATTGGTTAGAGAACCATTGGAAAACCTGGGAGAACTGGACAGCTGATTCGTCCTAGTTTGGGACTCTTAATCAGTACGCAACCACCGCGGTCCAAACCTAGGACCTTCTGGATCCAAAGTAAGCTCGTGAACCATTAAGCCACCGGGACCAGATCCAATGACCCATGAATCCCTACAAACCAATACTTGAATAATTGTTCTACGAGCTCGCTTTGTATCCAGAAGGTCCTAGGTTTGGACCGCGGTGGTTGCGTACTGATTAAGAGTCCCAAACTAGGACGAATCAGCTGTCCAGTTCTCCCAGGTTTTCCAATGGTTCTCTAACTAATGTCAGCTAATGATGAAATCTTGTGACTAATTTATTTTTATATTATGTTTGACAGACTGAGAGTACACGTACATGTACAAAAATAGTTATATATATATATATATATATATATATATATATATATAAGACAATGCTGCCTACTATCTCCAATGATTTTCCTGATTGTGGTAGACTTAATAATGCGACAGACAGCGGGCAATGAGGAAACAGGCATAAAATGGACTCACACAAAAAACTTGGAGGATATGGATTTCGCCGATGATATATGTCTGATTTCCCACAAACTGGAAGGTATGCAAATGAAAAGCAACAAGTTGGCAGAAGAAGCATCAAAAATAGGACTTCAAGTAAACATAGAGAAAACAGAGGTGATGAAGATTCCTGGCCAGCAGCAGCAACAACAGAAAACAGTAAGCATAAATGGAAGATATGTGAAAAAAGCAACTTCCTTTACCCACCCTACATAAGATGCATCGTTTCAACTACAGGGAAAACTGACGAGGATATCAAGGCGAGGATCGAGAAAGCAAGGCAATCTTTCATTACTCTCAAGTCTGTGTGGAGATCAACAGCACTCAGTATGAAAAATAACATCTGGATTTTCAACTCCAATGTGAAGTCAGTGCTACTATATGGATCAGACACTTGGAGCGTCACGAAGTGCACTTCGAACAAACTACAGACTTTCATCAACAGCTGTCTTCGTTCACTACTTAAGATCAGATGGCCAGAAAAGATGAGCAACAGGGGTCTCTGGGAGCGAACCAACCAGGAACCGATTGTGCAACAAATGGGCAGGAAGAAATGGAGGTGGACTGGCCATACTCTGAGGAAACCATCAAGTGACATCACACGCCAGACTCTCTCCCGATTAGAACCCGAATGGGAAGGGGCGAGTTGGTCGTCGGTATGAGGGTGGCATGGAGGAGGTCATGCGAAGAGGAGATAAAAGCATGTGGGCAGACGTGGAGACTGGTGAAAACGTTGGCAGAGAACCAAACGCAATGGAGACGCACGGCTGAAACCCTATGTTCCCCTAGGAATTAAAGGAAACAATAATAATATATAGGCAGATAAGAATGTCTACTATCACCTGTGGTATTCCTAAATGTGGTGGGCTGGATTATACGTCAGACTATGGGTAACGAGAAGACAGAAGTTCATTAAACCGGTAAGAATACACTAGAAGATCTGATTTCCGCCGATGATTTATGTCTGATGTCACATAAATTAGAAAACTTACAGGTGAAAACCAACAGGTTGCCAGAAGAGACGAGCAGCAGAGACAGGGATTCAAGCGAACATACAGAAGATGGAGGTAATGAAAGTAACCAAACAACAACAAGCATTAACCACCATCAGCGGGAGAAATTTGGAAGGGGTCATTCGCTTCACTTATCTCTCTAGGCAACACCATCTCAACTACAGGCTATAGCACATATGAGGATATCAAGGCACGACTGACACTCATCACTCTAGAATCGGTTTGGAAATCTTCTGCCCACCGCAGCACAAAAAACAAGGTTCGAATTTCCAGCACCAATATTAATTCAGTCAGTTCTTCTGTGTGGGTCAAAAATCTTGATGCATCACGAAAAGTACTTCCGAAAGCCAGCTGCAGA